TACTCCAAGTGCTTTAAGTATATGTTTGCTTAAATATTTATGCATATGTAAATATATATTATATATTTAAATCTCTATGCTCTTAAAATATTTACCTGTTAGTGTAAATAGACAATATACAACCAATTTTGATATGTAATATAATTTAATATCAACACACAGAGAAACAGTTGACCTGTACAAGGGGGAGCTCATGGACCCTAGACTGATAGCTGGGAAACCAGCATAGGACTGACCTAGACCCCCAGAACTTGGGTGTCAGTGAGGAAGCCTGGGCAATCTATAGGGCCTCTGGTAGTGGATCAGTATTTATTCCTAGTATACGAATGAACTTTGGGAGCCCATTCCACATAGAGAGATACTCTCTCTCAGCCTATACACACTGGGGAGGGTCTAGGCTCTGCTCCAAATGATATGACAGACTTTGAAGACCCCCCATGGAAGGCCTCACTCTCCTTTGGGAGCAGAAAGTGGATGGGATAGGGGGTTTGTGGGGGGCAGGGGAGGAGGGGAGGAAGAAGGAACTGGGATTGACATGTAAAACAAGCTTGTTTCTAATTTAAATTAAGAAAAGAAAAACAAAACAAACAATAAAAATTAATTAAAATAAAAAATAAAATGGAAGAAAAACATCAACACACACAAAGAAAATCACAAATCCACCCAGAAACATTAATTTTCATTAGAATCCCAGGAAACATTTGTTGGAGAAGAAAACAATTAGCAATACTAGTGATAGTAGGACCCTCATTTTAAAATACATTGTTCCTATAAAATCACTTTTAATTGATTTCAACACATAAGTAATTAAGAAACCTATGAAGTGGTTATTTTTAATTGATTTTTCCAAATATTGAGATTGATTTTCTAAGTTAGAGACAAAGTTAAAAGGGAAGTTATCCAGTGAAAAAAAGTTGTATTCAATTAGATAAGTAAACAAGAGGACATACTGGGAAGGAATGGCTGTTTCAAACAACACTTACAGGGTGTAATTTGGGTCAGGAACATCACTTGAATAGAACTTAATTACAGACACAGTCAGGGATTACTCAAGGTTAAACCTGCTTAAATTACTTTTGAGCTCAACAATGTGTGTTTAAAACATAATTCAGGTTCTTCTGATACCTAGAACTCTGAGAAGACAGTTTTCACGCAGGTTATTAAAAATCATATAAAGAAAGATGAATCTGGGATGTAGACCAAGACCAGGTGATGGGAAGGTGCCCTTGTTATACACAAAGATTGCGAGTTTTCTCTGTAGGTGATGAAGGCTACAGGAGGTAATGTTGAGTAGGGCATTTAGATGTATGAACATCAGGTAGAGAATAGAGTTGAAGGAGAAGAGATTGGACAAGGAGGCCATAGAGGAGTTGAGGAGTGAATTCTCACACACACACACAAAAAATGTCTCAGATGGAGACGTCCTCTATATAAAACTGAAGATGTTTGAGTTTTAAACATGTGAAGGAGCAGAGGACAGATGTATGTCTGTATGAGTTTCACTCTTATGGAAGCTGAGTGGTCATTAGGCTAAGAAGGGTAGAGGAAATTCAATTAGACAGGAGGAGTAAGTTCTAATGTTCTGCAGCACAACAATGTGACCATCATTTATAACATTTGGTTTTATTTTATGGAAACTAGGGCAGGAGTTTCTAACACACACAGAATTGTAAATGCTTATGGAGACAGAAACTCTAATTAACCTGTTTTTATCATTGTACTTTATACATGCATAGACTCTCCTGTTATCATATGTCAAAATACCACACCATATCCTATGGATATGTATAATTATTACATGCCTATTGAAAATGAAGTGTGCAAAGCTGGGTCAGCAGCTAAAAGTACTCACTGTTGTTGCAGAAGACCCAGGATGGCTTCCCAAACCCACATAGCCG